AGTGAGCAATCGTTGGAGTAAGGGCAGCGACAAGAGCTAAATTGTGAAAAACCCCCTCTCGGCAGAACACACCTACGTAATTAATTGCTCTCCCAACCCTATTGTGGACGCCGACCGTAACATTTCATCTGCAATAATTGGGTCCATCCATTCAGTTGCTAGTCCCAAAATGATGCTTTAAACCCAAATAGACCAAGATTCAATGTAAGTAATTAAGTATAAGTTTTGAGAAACTTTATATTATTATTATGAGAAAATACATAAACAAATTGCATAAGTTTTTTTATTTATTAATTGTAGTATTGTAATTAGTATGTATGGTACAAGCAGATTCTATACTGTTCACAATCTCCATTCCAGAAAAACCCATTCAAAAATTTTATGGAATAGATCATGTCTGCTAGATTCTATTAAAAACCTCTTTGCCACCACGCCGGCTGCCAGAACGTGGACGCGCCTCTCCCCTTCGCTTAACCTCTGCCACACCTGGCATGCGGATAATATCCCGCGACTGAGTTGTGGTTGAGCTGTAAAGCCCAACCTCCATGCGTTTTCTGTACTCTATAGTAAAGATGAAGAACGCATTTTTGGGCCTCCTCGGCGACCCATGCTTGTTCGGCCTGTTGTTGTACGCCAGCAGTTCGGCCTTACTACAGACGAGAAATTTTCGCAGGTGGCTGACTGTTTTGCTTTTTTCAATGTCAACTGCAAATGCCTTCTCAGTTGGTTCACCCTGCACAAGGCAGAACAGAGAATTGGCCTTGCGATAGGCCTCGTCGAATCGTTGTTCAAGTTCGCGGGAAAGGTTCTGCACAAGTTGTAGTGTTTAAGATTTTTGATTACGAGGGAGTTTTGGACGATGTTATAAATCGACTTGCGCCGATTATGAATGTATAAGATGCTTTATATTTATGCATATTAAAATTGGGTGTCATTATCGAAAATTGCTATACTCCATGAACTTTACATCTTTTTTAAGTAAATGAAATAATGAAAAGTTAAATAAAATAATAAAGATGGACACTGAGTTATCCCAATATTATTGGGCGTCAGTATCTCTGGGTATTCGTAGGTTGCTCGCTGCTTGAGACGACAGAAAAGCATAATACAGTAATACCCAGATATCTAGATTGAAAATTGCTATACTCCATGAACTTTACATCTTTATTAAGGAGTATTGCGTGTATGTCATTGTAGAACACTAAATAATATTATTGAATAAATGAAATAATGAAAAGTTAAATAAAATAATAAAAGATGGACACTGAGTTATCCCAATACTATTGGGCGTCAGTATCTCTGGGTATTCGCTGCTTGAGACGACAGAAAAGCATAATACAGTAATACCCAGATATCTAGATTGACCCGCTGATAACATACAAACCACGTGATAATATGTTTCACATTTCAGCATTTCATGGTGCAGACCACCCTCAATTTATATTTATAGACTTTACAAACGCGTTACTTATTACAAAACTCATAATAATAAACTACAAGCACACCAAAGTAGGCACGTGCCTTATCGCCTAGTACTCTTCGCATTTGAAGAACTAATTTGACGTTACCATCTATTTCGTCAGGCAAGATCGGGTTGGTTTAAAATTTATCTAAACAAAGTTTATTCTATATTTTTGATTCCTAGAATTTGCAGTGAATAAACTTACAATGTGTAATTTCATAATATCAGCAGTAACACGTTTGCATGCAATTTAGACAAGAGGACTTGATAAAATTATTGGTTGTTAAGGTAATTAGAGGGACTGATGTATGTAAATGTTGTCCATATTTGCTCATCGATTAGATTAACCCAAGTCCTTTAATACTAATTGTTTCCTTTTTCAGATCACTCGATGACTGGAGATAAGAGACGTGATATCGAACAGAAGCCATGGAAAGGCTTAGAATGCTGGAAACGATTACGGTAGATATTAATGTTGCAGTTATCATGTATGCAACAGTAATACATATGTCGCTCGTACATTATCCTGACGCAAGCGCTTTG